TTATCTGCTCTGTCAATCTGCAGTCTTAGTTTTGCCTAATCTCTTTTAGTTTCTGTGAAAACTTCGATGAAATTTCTGGTCCTCGAAAAGTTCAAAAATCGTGTCCCACCCCCTTTTGAGTCTACTGTGCAGCCAATAAGCACTTTAAGTCAAATATTTTTCTTTGAAAGGATTTACTAAAGTAGGCACTATAGATTGTTGAAAACCGCAAGTTGCTAGCTTTTTTCGTTTTTGAGTAATTGACATTTTACTGACGTCCAGTGGCTTGTGACATACAATTTGTCCCACCCCCTTTTGACTCTCACCTGACCGAACTACATGGAACTGAGAACTCGTTTTTTTACCATATATGTCAAATGGGTAGCACAAGTTATACTGTAAATAGCAAGGCTTCAGCTTATTTCTAAAAGAAGAAATTTGAAAAATACATCAAAATGTCCAACCCGTAACTTTTGTCCCACCCCCAAACATATCTCTAGAATTGTTTTGGCTAGTATATTATACGATTATACGTATTTTGACACCCTGAACTGAATGGGAGGCTCAGTTTTCTGAAAACCAGCTCAGCAAAGGATTGCCAGAAAACCGGGATTTCTTGAGGCCCAATGTTAGAAATTGTCAAAAACCATTTTTAAAGATGCCAGTTGATAGAGCAGATGTGAAAACCTATGTTTCAATATATTTTTAAGCTCAGTTATGCCCTCTTAGCTGAAAAGCAGAGAAAATCGCATTTTCGATCCTGAGTCAAAAAGTGAACAACCAGGATTTTGGCTGAGAAGGACTTGGCAGTTTGGAAACAGAGTTTTTTCTAGACTTTCAAGTACCCTCTATAAATCTACAGTGTTAAAATATTTTCTTGGACACTTTCATTCTGGGTCATTTTTTTCTTTAAAAACGGTACAAAAATCACCAGAATCACTCATATATACAATTTTAGACCTTGTGTTTTATATCCTTGACGATGATTTTTTAATAAATCGAAACGTCGAAATTTAAAATAAAATAAAATGATCCACACTGCTGCTGTTGTTATGCTTTTTCTATTGAAAATTCTACCTATTAATAATAAAAGAAACAATAAAGAAATAATAAAGTAAATACAGCAACGTGCGGCAGGAACAAAACTAATCAATTGCCCAGGTAAGAGAGTGTAACTATTATAACTAAATTGAAATTGATACACGTGGGCAACGAACACGTCCCTTTGGCGATATTTAAAGTATAAGTGCATCAGAAGTTTTATTTATAACTGATATACTATTTTAATTAGAAAATAACGATGGTCATCAGGATGAAGTTGAAGAAATTTGGATATACTAGATCTGATGTGTTTTCGCTGGTATTGTAGGAGGAACTATTCATTTCACACAGTAACTCTGAACCGCACGAATGTTTTTCGAATAGCTTTGAAAAAGAACTTGTCTCTTTGTGAAATATTATCAGGAGGGTAACGATAATCTCTCGCATCAAGGAAAACTGAATAAAGTTTTAGTACAATTTCAAAAGTTTCTCTCTCGTGCAAGTCCTCAATTGAGGCGTAAGGTATGATTGAAACGTTTTCTCGTAACTGAACTCAGCCTCATCTCACCTGAGCCATTCGAGCCTTGAGACTAAATATCGACATCGTGGTTCTTTTTCTGCGTAATATACCTCATTCATATTCTCACGATAAGTAAATACAGCAATGTGCGGCAGGGACAAAACCAATCAATTGCCGAGTTGAGTGAGTACAACTATTATAACTAATTTGAAATTGATACACGTGGGCAACGAACGTGTCCCTTTGGCGATATTTAAAATTGATCAAAGAGGGTACCGATTTTGGTCTTATCGACCCCGGTCCTTTACCTGGTAATGCTAACCAGCAGAGCTGACTATTCATTGAATAACGCGATTATTTAGGGAGGATCTCCCCACCCGTTTTTTTCCAGCAATTTGTGGAGGACACTTCGGAGTATATGTGCCAACAAAGCTTTCGCTTCCCGGATTTATAGCTTTTGATAAAAACAATTTTTAAGTTTTTTCCTGGTTTTTTCCCCTATTTTTAAAACTTTGATAAAAACTTCATTTTTTGATATGAAGAGTTGATTCTAGCGTAGTTCGATAGAGAACATTAATTTATATACAGAGAAACCCTTTTCATCGTTTCCGAATGAAGTTTGTCGCACAGATTTGGCGTTCGCCTTCCGGAGGAAACTTCAGAGCCAAAAGTATTTTTCATCTCGCCTTACGGCTAGTTTCGCTCGAAGCAAGCATTTCGAAGCAAAACTCTGAGTGCAAAAGTTGTTCAGAATCGAATTTTGGAGTCCCTGACTGTTTTTAAAATTTTTTGTTTTTGATTTTTAAATTAAAAAATACGAATTTTTAAAATTTTTGAAAATCCTACAATTTAATTTAAAAGTCAGAAACAAAAAATTTTAAAAAAAACCCTCGTCATGGGCTCCAACATTCGATTCTGAACAACTTTTGCACTCAGAGTTTTGCTCCAAAATGCTTGGTTCGGGTGAAACTAGCTGTAAGGTTAGGTAAAAAAATCTTCAGTGAGCCAAAAACCAGCGATATTTTCAAGTTTTGAATTTTTTCTTCAAGCCTTCCCGGTTTGTAGAGGACACTTCGAAGTGTATGTTCGGAAGTTTTTTCGGCTTAATGAAATTATTTGGCTGAGAAAAAAATCAATTACTTAAAACAATATTGTTAAGTTGTCGACTTACCAGACTTACCGAGTGACTAAAAACGAATCCTAAAATGTTTAAGGCAGTCCATATTGTAGCCCATGAAATTCTCTGTCAGATGAGGTATTGCTTGAATTTTTTCGTTGCGTTGCTATTTTACAAATAAGACTTTATGCTAGTAGAGTAGGCTAAATTAACGTTAATTAGTACTAATTAGCCAATACCAGAAAGGAAAGAACAGAAATTCTTGCATATTTTCTCTTAATAAATATTCTCCACACATTTCTCTATCGATCTAGGCGAGAACCAAGCTTTTGTGATGAATGGACGATGGACAGGAATTTTTTTAATAATAATCCCTTCTTCAAAAATTTAACAATATTTTCTTAATTAATTTTTTTCTCAGTCAAATAATGTCAGTAAGCCGAAAAAACTTCAGGACATATACTTCGAAGTGTCCTCTACAAACTAGGAACGTTAGAGAAAAATCTAAATGGGGCTCCCCCCCTTAAAGAACTTTATCAAATTTAATCAAAACTACTATCCATTTCAATGAACAATGGAGTCGGTTGTAAGTTGAATAACTCCGGATAGGAAGCAGCTAGATACCTGCGGTTTTCAACATTCGAAAGAGAATAATATTCTTTCTTAAGAAATATCAAAAGCTAGTTGATCAACAACTGACCAATCAGGTGAGTTTTCGCTTGACATATTGGGCACCGCCTGGAGAAAAGATTCCCAGTTGGATTTGAAATTCTAATACAACCATTCGATAGAGAAAATCATTCTCTATTGCTCTAGCTTTTGATATTTCTTAAGAAAGAATATTATTCTCTTTCGAATGTTGGAAACCGCAGGTATCTAGCTGCTTCCTATCCGGAGTTATTCAACTTACAACCGACTCCATTGTTCATTGAAATGGATAGTAATCCCATTCATTTGAAAGAACGATAGTATATTTTCGAAGGATAAAACCACTTGAAAGATGAAACCTTTGCTTTTAAATTGAAACCGAATTTCTTTTCTATATTAAATCAGGGGCTTTTTGCAATCAAATGTTTGATCTTATTAGCATACTAATATCATTTTCCTATGTGTTGACAGAACGAAAGCATCAAGTATGTTACGCCTGATGTTTTCATTCATTGGATTGTTTGTTATTACTTGAAATCGTTTTAAGATTCTTTAGTAACAGAAAAAGAAAACGAACTTAGAAGAGAAAATTCAAATTATTTTCTTCTTGGATGCCAATAGTATTTTTATTTATTGAGACACGCACCTGGCTACATAAGACCTCTGAATATACGTTTTTAACAAGCATAAAAAAAACAACTTGAGTAAATGAGTCAAGATACAAATAAATCAAAAAAGTTGATTGACGAATCCTTCAAGCGTCAGATCACAATTGCCGCCCCCGCCGAAGAAGGCAGCACCCGTGGCTGTGGCTGTCAATTTGGCACTATCTTTGTTGGCAGCCACTTTCAGACGTTGTATATGTTGGCTTTCCATAGACTGCAAGAGTTCAACTGCCGCTTTGTACTTCGCTTCGCCGGCCAACTTGATTGCGGCTTCATACTTATTGGTGATCTCATTTTCGTATGTGAGCATCGTGCCCGACGCATAGAATTCACTGTTGTACGAGCATCGCCACTGTTCGCCGTTTTCTTTGACACGTGTCTCTGAAATCATACCGTGAGCCGTGTAGGTGCACGTCTGCGTGTTTTCCTTCTCTTCGAAGCCGGTGTCAGCAACGCGCGCCTTCACTTGACACAGAGTAATCCATTTGTAGCCTGTTCCATTCGGCGACACTGTGAGATTAACTTTCGCCAAGAACTTCTTGGCTTGTTGCTGAGCAGTTTGATCGGCTGCTTGGCCTTGGTTCGACGCGGTAAACACAAGTAGTGCACCGAGTGTGAGTGCAAGTAGATGCATGGTTGTCTATCTTTGAGTAAGTAGTAGATTGTAGTGAAAGTGAAAAACTTCGTCGTTACTGTTTATATAGTGCGCCCGCTTCTTACTTCATTCCCACTTATGCACAAAGTAAATAATTCCCACAGTTTGCAGAACAATAGTTGTACTCACTCAACTCGGCAATTGATTGGTTTTGTCCCTGCCGCACATTGCTGTATTTACTTATCGTGAGAATATGAATGAGGTATATTACGCAGAAAAAGAACCACGATGTCGATATTTAGTCTCAAGGCTCGAATGGCTCAGGTGAGATGAGGCTGAGTTCAGTTACGAGAAAACGTTTCAATCATACCTTACGCCTCAATTGAGGACTTGCACGAGAGAGAAACTTTTGAAATTGTACTAAAACTTTATTCAGTTTTCCTTGATGCGAGAGATTATCGTTACCCTCCTGATAATATTTCACAAAGAGACAAGTTCTTTTTCAAAGCTATTCGAAAAACATTCGTGCGGTTCAGAGTTACTGTGTGAAATGAATAGTTCCTCCTACAATACACAGTGGGCATATTTGGCTAGAGCAAGCGGACATGTGATTTTATACGAAACATACAAGTGTTAAAATAATGGAAAATATATTTTTATAGGTTATCGACTACGCTCTACCCAACTGTGAAATCAGATTTCGTTTTTGAAAACTTTACTTTAACGGATTTTCCAGAAAACCTCGGTTTTCGGTGAAAACTTTTTAAATTTTAAAAAGGACAGTGCAAATGCATACAGAGATCGCCGGCAAAAAGAAACGGCACCTCCCCCTTGTTCAAAAAGTCGTAGAACAACTTTAGAGCATTCAGACCAGACAATCACGTCTTAAACAAAAAACGCGTACAAGTTGATCATTATTCAATATAATAATTACATGCTTAATTTCGAAGGGACGTTAGCCGTTGATGTTTTAACATCAACGTTTCTCCTCCTCATCACGGAGAGGTCTCCCTTCATAGAGGAGGAAAAAATTCATCATTGGACAAGCGCATGCAAATCAACTGCACTAAAATGAATAGACTAAAATCAGTAGACTAAAATGAATAGACTAAAAAGTACAGACTAAAATCATGCAAAAGAAAAGAAATCATTCTCACACTAAAATCTTACCCAGTAGAACTTCATCCTCATTGATACCAGCCATTACATGTGACGAACTTGTTTTCCTTTCTCTCTTTGACTGTGACTGATTGATGATGTGGCGAATGATCGGATCGGATCTTAGAAATAGGCGGCTGAAAACATCGGTGAGATTCGGGATATGGCCAGTTTTTCGGGCTAGAAACTCTCGATAATTACGTACGTCCTTGTTACAGCTTTCGAGGGCTTCCTCACTTAATTCTCCGAGACCAATACCGTTGTTTCTCTCAACAAGCTCTGCAGAATGAAAGATCAAATTGTGGACCGTGAGATTATACTCCACCCAACTTAATTCATTGACAACAAAAAGACAGAATTCTTGTGCTAAAGTTTTGAGTTCAATTACATTGATCAATTGTGTGGAAGAAACGGCCCGGAGGATCACTGAATACATTTGCATGAGCTTATTCATTTGACCTTGATGTTTCGTTGGTAGAGACCCTATAACTTTTTCACGCAATTCATGAGAGAAAAATCTTCTACCCTGTTGCCCTGTAGTGCTTGTGCCCGTATGCCCAGCCGATGAATCAACTTGGTCCAATTTCAGTCCAGTTTTTTCTTGAATGAATGTTAATATCGAGTCTTTTGCTTTTCTGAGTTTCTCCTGATTCCTTTCTCCACGTATAGCCCATGTCAAAAGGTTTGCCTTAATACGGTAAAAGATATTGAGAAACCACGTTGTACCATTTATGTATTGATGAGTGAGTGTGATGTAGTGGTGGTCGCTTGAAGAAATAGGTTCCGTTGTCAATCCTGCTC